AGAATCGACGTCCCACGATTCGATCTCGTTTACATTGTTTATCGCGTTTCGTGCGGACAACCGCGCGCGCCGTACAAATAATATATATCGGGCATGCTCGGCTACGATTAGGAAGGACGTCTCCGGATAATATAATAACGAGAGAGGGGGGTGGGGAGAGAGAAGAAAAAAAGAGAGGCATGTAGATATAAAAATAAAATAGCCGGGTAAGAACGGAGAGAACCCGACGTGCCACACGCAGAGACCACGCGAGACGTGTTTATAGTAATGAGCCTTGTCGTTATTTGTCCAGCGAAAGGGATTTATCGAGATACCTTGTGAGATCTTGTTGCTCGATCTTCTTCTTCCTCTTCTTCTTCTTCTTCCTCTTCGTCGTCGTCCTCGTTGTCGTCGTCGTCTTCGTCCTCTTCCCTCGTCCTTTTCCCCCTCGCTTCCTCCAGCCGCGAGGTCTCCTTATTTTCTGCTTCGTCCCTCGGCTTTCCTTCCTCCCTCATCCCCCTTCCTCCCCCCCTCTGGTCCCTGACGGCCATTCAATTCTTCCCGCGGCGGGTTTCGCAAGCGATTCAGTAATATGAAAGGTTCGATGTCAGCCGCAGTTAGCCGCGTTTTAAAAAAATCGCCGCGGACGCGCCGCTCTGCTCGGCTCAGCTCGGCTCGGAGCCGAGCGGCGCGGAGCGGAATTTCAGGGGTAACAGCGATGTAACAGAAATACCGCGCGTCTGGCCCGTAAAGATATGGTTTTCCGCGGCGTGAAACTTTTATGCCGGTCCGCGTTTGATTGGCGTGCCTCGGCTCGAGCGCGCGGCTCGATTTTAGTGCGCTCTCCGACGAGACTCCGGGGACGGTCGAATTATATATCTTCGATGCTAGATCTCTTCGATCCAGGCGGATCGTCGCGATCTCGGAGCGCCGGACACTCGAGGGACGAGTTTTCTTTTTTTGGGGCGGGGGGGAGGATGTTCTTCTAGGCCTTCGTTTCTATGAATCGAGAGACGAGTCGCGTTCTCGCAGCGAGAAAATGTTTGTTATAAATTGTTTTATATAAAATGTTATGTAAAATTATGTATATAACTTTATAATTAATAAATATTATTATTAAAAAATAATAATATAAATAAATATTATATTATTATCATTATAATTAATAAAAATTAATAAACATAATTTTTTGTAACAGAGTTACTCTGAGACACCCTGTGTATGTACATTGACGTTCAAAAGTATTTATCCGCTCGCATTTGTTTCGTTTCGTTAATGATTGCGCGGTGTTCGTGGAGGAAAGAAGCGATCGCCTTCGTGGCAATGGCGATAATATCGACGAGCGAATAATAATAATAATAATATAATTATATAATCAAATAATAATAATAATAATAATAATAATAGAATAATTATATAATTCTATAGTAATAATAATAATATAATTCTATAATAATAATAATAATATAATAATATAATAATAATAATAATTTTCAAGCTGATGCATCGAATAAACAATGTGAAGATTCCATGGACAAAGAGTTCGATATCAGACTGTACCGAAAGCATTCCGTTTTTCAATAAAAACGTTACAAATAAAAGCGTTACAAATAAACTTTGAAAACGTTCGAGCAACAATGTACCCCGGCGCGTTTTGTTTATTTAAACGCTGGCCGCCGGGGCCGTTCGGTCCGCCGTCGTCGTCGGACGAACTTGTAGCCGCGGTCTCCGTTCGCGGTTCACCGTCCACCGATGCACGAAGAGATTTACCTTGCACCGTTCGTAGGTGTGAATTAATTACCAATGACTGGCTCGACTTTTACGGGAATCGGCGCGGCCCGTGTCGCGGAAACACAACGTCGGCAGCGCGCCGCGTCGATGCTCGTTTCGTTTCGTTTCGTTTCGTTGATTTCATACGGCGATTATAAAGATCGCGTTACATAACACCGTCGCACACAACGCCGACGCTTGTCGCATAGGAATGGGATCAAGTTCAATATAATGTTGTGCCAATTTTCAGCGACCGAGTTTTCGTTTTATCGGTATAGCCGATTTATGCCGCTTCGGAAACGGTAGACTGTGTTTAACTGTCTTGTAGTATTAACTATACTGTAGTTTACTATACTGTGTGGTATTAACTATAGTATTAACTACATCAGTGTAAATATTAACTATATATATATACTATATAGTATTAACTGTAGTACTGACTATAGTATTAACTATATTATATAGTTAACTATAGCATTAACTATACTATATAGTATTAACTGTAGTATTAACTGTAGTATTAACTATACTATATAGTATAATATTATTAATACTATATTATATAGTATTTTATGTTAATACTGTAATTAGTTAATACTATACTATATAGCATTAACTATGCTATAGTATTAACTACAGTATTAGCTATGCTATAATATTAGCTATAGTATCAACTATAGTATTAACTATGCTATAATATTAACTATAGTATTAACTATGCTGTGTAGTATTAACTATAGTATCAACTATGCTATAGTATTAACTTTGTTATATAAAATAAGAGAATACTAGTAAGCCAGAAAAAAGTTATTTTAGATTTACAGTTAAAATATATATATAATATTATATTATAATTTAATATTATATAATATTATTATATATTTATATTATTATTATATAATATTTAATATTATATTATAATACATATATATAATATTTCGCTGTTATTTCTCAAATCGCTCACGGTTCGTTCGAAGCCGCCCAGCTAAATTCGCACTGATTTCTACTTTCATCCCTTAATTACGTCGACCATCCATTTTCACGCGACCCGCGCGTTTTCGCTTTTCTCCCGGGTTTTATTTATCCACGCTACTCGCGCCGCGAACCGGTGCCAATCGATATGTTAATTAATTTCCATAAGGAGTCCCACGGTTCATTTGAACGGCCGAGGGAGCCGTGCTCGACCGGCGCACCTGGCTAGATTGGGGTTTCGTCTCCCTCCAGCAGCTTTTTTTCCTCTTGCTTTCGCTCACGCTCGTTTTCTAACTTGCTTTTCCTTCGATCTTGCGCGGATCGCGTCCGAAACGATGAGATGAGCCTCTGGCGAGCACTGTTTAAACAAAATCCATAGGTTCTTTTCGAATAGAGAACGATCACCGTTGCCTCGCCGACGATCATTTCGACGTCGACGATCGGGCTTCACCGACGCGATTTCATTGACACTGAAATCTCTGCAGACAATATTTCCGCGCCCACGCGGAGTTTAGGTTGCCTGCGATCATTTCTTCGACAATGTCGTCTCTTCTACCGAGTCGGATGATTTTTCGTTTCATTCAATCGCTGGCGATGCGTGCGCGTGCATAAACGTTATGTAGACTAAAATAAATATAAATGATAATAATAATAATACATATATAAATGCTATACAGACATAATAAGCTGTACAGATACATAAACGATATGTAGACTAAAATAAATATAAATGATGATGATAATAAATATAGTAATATTGATAATAATAATAGCTAATAATAATATCTAATATATTTGATGTATATAATAGTAATAATATCAATATATTTAATATATACATATAATAATATCAATGCATTTAATATATATAATAATAATATCTAATATATTTAATATATACATATAATAATATCAATACATTTAATATATATAATAATATAATAATGATAATAATATAATAAATATAAAAATCTGACCTTCTTGATAAAACTATATCCAAGAATGCTTAGGATCATTTATAATTTCATTTGCCAAATTTTGTGACCATGTTCCTCAACAATTTATTCATGGAAATTCTGTTAACATTCTTTTCAACGACCGAGTTACACCTGAAAAAGAAAATCAATTAGTTCTGTATCAAATAATTTCAGATAAAAATCTCCTTTCGTATCAATCATATTACATAAACATTTTATAATTCAAATTTGTTCGCTCAAAGTGTTTTTTCTCACCAAGAGTGCAATTAAATTCGCGAACGCGTCGCGAGACGCGCGGGGATCTCAATCAATTATCCGAAATCGCCGTTCGATTATTCAACGATACACGGTTTCACGATTTTTGCCGGAATATCGACGGAACATCGCGCCGAACGATATTTTAACGACTCGGTTTCCATGGAAAAACGAGCCTGAAAAATTACAGTCCACGGGCGGAGTTTTTTAACGGATCGCCGCTGAAATCCGCCGCGGCTTTCCTCTCCGTCGCGCGGATGATTGGAGCGGCGGGCCGCGACGAGAGAGCGTTTCAACAGGCGGAAGACGGCGCGCGAATGTAACGCGAAGTCGCGCGATAGGCCGCGATTCGGGGCCGGGCCCCGATCGGTGCCCCGTAAGGAGCCTGTAATGCGAAATAATGGGTATCCACCCACTCGATGAAAATTGCACGAGACGCGGCCCTCGGCCGGTCGGAGAGAGAAGAGGACGGTCTGCCTCGCCGACCGATACACACGACGGGGCCTGCACGTCGTTGAAATAAAAAGGAGAGGGCGAGCGAGCTGGGCCTGGCGCGAGCGCGCGCGCGCGAGCGCACCGAACCGACCCAGCCACGCCGACGTTCGAAGATAATTGTTTAGCAGGCGCGAACACCGTAATTAAAACCGAAGATAGAGTCGAGATATACCGTGCAACGGCCGTCTATCCTAAGAGATGACGGGAGCCTGCTGCAGGTGGCGTCCTTTGCGTTTCTTTCTTCCCTCTTACGTCATTAGACGTTCTACAGGAATTTCTCCCTAATTGACGGTCCGCTTGGAAACGAAAATGCGCTTGTTCGGGAAGAGCAGCCGCGATTATGAGATTTTTGTAGGTGCTGGCGATGGGTGAGGTTCGAATGATCCTGTCTACTTTTGCAAAATTGTACATTTTTTGGGTCCTACTTGAGCGTCAATTAGGGAGAATTATATTTGAAAAAGATTATAAAAAGAGTACAGTAAATTCTTACCAATTGTCCATCAGCTTGTAAGCAGAATTGGGCAATTTATTGATTTAATAATTATTCGATAATTATTGTTGATACTTATTTAGTAGTTTATTAATTTACGTCTTATTTTTATAGTTAACAATCGGTATACTATAAGGCAACTATAATCGTATTTCCTCCCCCCGAATTGTCCATTTTAATAATTTTAACTTTACATATGTATTCGAGCACATGTGCTGACGGTACACGCCAAATGTGAATAAAATCAGTCAAGTATATCTTGAGATATCATGGCAATCAGTTCAAAAAACATAATTTCGATCAAAAAACGCGTTCAAAGATTATTTTGTATCGTCTGGACAAAAATTATACCGCGGCTAATCTGCCAGGACCGTAGAGAGAACCTTCTTCGTGTTCAAAAAAGAGGCCCTGAATTCTTTCCTCTCTTTCTCCTCTCGATCCGCGCGCATTAGGGTGCATTTTAATCCATTTTCATACACCACGTATATTCTATTGCTAACGAACAGCTGCGTATTCCTCAATTTCTCGAATCATCGCAACATCCTTCGGTGAAAATATTTCCTGAAACATGTATGTATGTATGTACATTCAGAAAATGAAGAAGATTCTAGGCTGGGATACCTCCTCGATGCTGCCATCGGAACTACGGTTTCAGCGTCCTCTCTACGTTCAACGATCACTAACACACACACAAATAGGCTGACTTTTCATAAGCAACCGAATGTTCTGTTTCGGCACTGTTTGACCTAGCGCAGTTGTTTACGAACGTTGGCTCGTATTATGAGAACCGTAGGTGGTGGTAAGAGCAGTTGATGGGGTCTGGTAAGTGAACTCCACCATCGAAGCCCCCGTCGGTTACCCGAAGTGCATTGTTGTCGGACAGGCACCGCGTTAATTGGCAGCGATGCACGCGCAGTCACCCGGAATCGATGCGTCCCGAAACTGGCGGAGCAACCCGAGGAATAACAATTAAACATTATGGAATAAGTTTATCGTTGGTTTGTTCCCCGGGGAGAATCTTGGGGGATTGTTAGTGGCGCCACTCGTGCACGTCATGTAACCAACGTGTGTACGTGGCATATCGGAAGAGCATCGGGATGAGGCCCCGGTCCCGATCCCACCGTATCATTATGACGCCTCGAAGGCAACTATCGATCCCGATCGATGATATTAATAGTCGCTAACTACAGTCTTCCATGCCGCTCGCGTTCTACAGCGTGTTCCAGCGTGTTCCCGGCCCGACCTGGTACCGGATTTTTTTCTGCCGGGGCCCGCGCCTCATGGGACCACGGAATCGACGCCGCGTGTTTCTCACTGTGTTCGCCCCGCGATAATCGAGCCATAAATAAATTTGCTAGTAATAAGAAGAGGCGGCGGGCGAGGGGGGCGGGGGCCAGGGGCACGGACGCGGAGGAAAACTTCACGAGCTTCCGTAATAAATTATAGGCTTCGCGGGACACCAACTGCTGGCAATTACGACTGAGAAGCCTTTTAGTCTCGTCATTTGGCCGAGACACTTTTAGCAAATTTCTATCCTTCTTCTTTTCGAGCCTCGCCGGGGTCGTAATAACCTCGCGGAAAGGGGGTTGGTAAACTCCGTTGGGCCTATTTTTTCCAGCGATATATAATTACATTGTACTGGTTGCTGTTTGTCTTCGTGAAAAATTGCGAATAGTTCACCGGATGAGCAATAATTACTCTCTTGATGTTTAAACGGTGCTCGCAATACTGAAATTACTCCTTTATAATAATAACAATATTCGCTTGGTTACTGAAAAGTATCCATATTAAATCACTGACCTACAATCATTGACAAAATTATGCGAATTAAAAATTGTTTTCATAACCTGTAAGTAATAGAAGTCGAAACAGAATCCTTTTTGAGCTTACTATTGTTTTAAATTTCGCCTACTATCCATTAAACGACTGACCTACAATCATTAATAAAATTATGCGAATTAAATATTGTTTTCATAACCTGTAAGTAATAGAAGTCGAAACAGAATCCTTTTTGAGCTTACTATTGTTTTAAATTTCGCCTACTATCCATTAAACGACTGACCTACAATCATTAATAAAATTATGCGAATTAAATATTGTTTTCATAACCTGTAAGTAATAGAAGTCGAAACAGAATCCTTTTTGAGCTTACTATTGTTTTAAATTTCGCCTACTATCCATTAAACGACTGACCTACAATCATTAATAAAATTATGCGAATTAAATATTGTTTTCATAACCTGTAAGTAATAGAAGTCGAAACAGAATCCTTTTAAAGCTTACTATTGTTTTAAATTTCGCCTACTCGTCGTCACGAGTGCATAAAATCTGCATTCTAAAATTGCTCCAACGACATGGAATGGAACGATCTCGTCGAAATTTTGTCTGAAAGAATTAAACAATTAATGAAATGTTTTCCGAAATGATCGCAGTGTTTTCATGTTTGCACCGAAAATATTCTGAAAAGAATGTTCTGAACAGAAAAAAGGTGCGAGAACGATTGGAAATCGAATAGGAAATAACTTTTGTCCCAGCTTGTACCTAACCGTTGAATAATCGAAGAATAAAATATCATTTTACCACCTGTTTAATCGTAACGGCTATGTAAACAAAGAGATGATGTAAATAACCTAAATTCAACAAGTCGCAAATGGAACGATTTGTCCGTTAAAATACTGTTACAAAAAAAAAGAAAACGATCATTATTATAAATGACACGAGCCAAGGTTTCGCGCCACTTTTATTTCATTCGCGCAGCGGTAAATCGTGCCGCAAAAATACCGGATTTCACTGCCGGCCGAAAGAAGTGTATCAAACTGCGAAATGCGATATAATACAATAAATATCGGCGAAAATATAATCTGCGTAATGATACACACACGCGTTTTTCTACTTACCGAAACGGCGCTCGATGTGTGTTATCGGGGAACGGTAAAATAGGACGAGGACGGTAAACGTTGGCGAGAATCATTCGACGCGAAAAACCGGCAAAAATAATAAACACGTTACATCGCGGAATACGTATTGTGGTAATCCGATCCGTAATAGGAAAAAAAAAGAGAACGCGTTGCGAAATGCACGGCAATTTATACGCGGCGTATATTCGTCACTGATCCATTACGGCAGATATTAAGATATGTACGCGACGCGCGACTTATAATTGAATTACACCTTCTGCGAGAACAAAACAAACTAATCAAACATTCTGTAACAAATGTGCTGGAAGAAACATCCCGCCGACTTTAATTCTGCAGTTGAATGAAACTGTTTCTTGTAAGATCTCAACGTCGCCGGTACAAGATATTATATTATTTATTATTATATATTCACTTATAACGAGAACCGAAACGAATGTTTAACCGTAAAAGAGGACCGCGATTGAATCTAGTGACTTCGCCGACCGGTTCACAGTAGTGCGCAAAGTACGACTTCCGGTTTCGGCCATGTTCGACGGTTTTAGTACCAGTGCCGTACGCGTAAAGCGACACAGCGCCTATGATCATTTTAATCGCGCAGACTCCAGAAAAATAATAAACAAAAGGAGCGATGGATCTTTTCCACAGAAACTGTCCGATAATGTATCGTGTCGTGTCCCTGGTTGTTTGAGTGTTTTTTTACTTGTGAAACAGCTCCGCGGGGTGAGTTTACGTAATTGAAGATTACACGGTGTACGGGTCACGTATTTCGTCACGCGTACAATCCTTTCGTTTAGATCGCCCCGAAAATTTCGTGCGTAAACTCGAAGTATTTTGAGGTTATATTGACAATCTACGTTGATAGGCCAGGGAGAGGGCTCCGATGGATCCTGAGATCTCGCGCGGATTATCTCACATTCGAGCCCGACCGCCGCTGTCGAATTAGCAATCAGAATCATCTGCTCCGTGAATTTTCTCTTTTTTCTTTTCATTTAAAAAACTTGGCAACGCGTTAATATGTGTACGTACACCAGCATGCAATTTGACGCATTCGCTCCGCCACATTTGTTGTTACGAATTTTCAGCCACCCCTGCTGTTCTTTAATCACGGCGTGGTAATGCCGTAACGCGAATTATCCGCCGATATTTTGACAAATTTGCTCCTCGTTCACACAAATAAAATCTGTGAACGTTGCGGTTTGGAGTTGTTTTTTTCTTCTTTTTCCGCAACACGAGTATTTATCGTGCGCGATATCGTAACTGAATAAATTCAAAATAACGCGTGATCTTTTCGTGTGACAAAGGTGCTAACGTTAAATGTTGTTTTTAATAAGTAATCGTGTTGTGGTACCTGGGACTCGATGCATCTGTGAGAAATGTCAGTGTTCGTCCGTCTCGTCGCATTTATACGTATAATTCATGTAAATACTTGTTTTCAGTTGCAAAATGACTGAAGGTGGTACCACAAGAATGAAGCGCAACGGCGCTCGTCTATTTAAAAATCCACCTCAACCTCATATGTGTATACAAGACTTTATACAGGTATATTTATATCGTACAGGTTATAAAAAGATGAAAAATCTGTGTTGGTGCACAAGTCCGTCAGAGCGTCTGTCGTACAAAGATCGTTCAGCTTGAAATTTCGACACACTTCTCTAAGTTGTATCGTTGCGTTTTATTTTAGGGTACTGCAGTCCCATGTTATGTAAATGTTTTATCTTGGGAGAAAATTGCAATGCCTTTGAAGCCTTCTCAGCCTGTGCCGCTTTACGGAGGGATGAGAGTCAGACCACCTCGTACAAAAGCGGAAGCCCTTGTATTCGCGGTAATGGCCAATCCAGAGGTGCTTCGAATCAATGGGAAAAATGCTCCAGATCCAAAGGTACCTTCGCGAATAGACTTACGATTATCTCGGGAATTATCTCTATTCTAGCGTGGCTCTATTTTTGCTGCAGAAGCGTTCCAGTTTAATTGAGCTTTTGCTAGACTTTGTGGAAACAGTGAACACAGGAGTAGTTTTCACACGACAATACACGATATTAAAGGACCGAGATATTACCGGTGAATTGAAAGAAGTTTGGAACGCGGTACAAGCTAGGCAAGATCTAGAACAGCCTCCTCCTCAACAGGAGACCTGGATCGATACGCAGCCTATGGTTCGCCTGTATCCTGAATATCAAGACCATCAGCAGCAAGAGTGCACGTCACAACCTCCTCAGTATCACACAGGCGTCGCATATGGTAGGGCAATGAGTAACGAGAGTATGCATTACCAAATGTACCAGTCTGGACAAATAGTGCCACAGCAATATCACGGTAATGTTCCGCGGATTGCGCAGGATCGTTATAACTATAGAGAACGCGGTAGAGAGAACATAGTACAGAATATTCCCCAACAGAACTGTCCGGCGTATCCGGGCCCGCAGTATCAGTTTCAACAGTTGCCAAGACAAATGGTGCCGCAGTATGTGAACTCGTACGGTCCGACCGCAAACGCGAATATGAATCCAAATATGAACACAAATTTAGGAACACCTTTTCAACCGTACATCAATTACCAGCAACGAATGGACAACACAATGCAATTTGATCTACATAACAGAATGCAACCGCAGCAGCAACAGCAACAGATACATTTAAATCGAGCTCAATTAATGCCTCAATACGAACCACCGACGTCGTTCAATCTTCACACCACCTCGTCGATCAACGTTGTGAGATTAGGCAGACCGCACATGGGCATAGCTCAAAAGAACAACGCCAGCAAAAGACAAGTGAATTCTCCCACTCATTCCAAGCAACCTTCCTGTACAAATTGTCAAAACAAAGATGCTTCCGACAATAGCACAAAGCCGAAAAGTCCCGTCAAGGTGTTACAAAGGGAATTACCATTAAGCGATAGGCAAGACAACACGGTTAACCATACACTTACCGATAACAATAAAGTACCTACAGAAAGAAGTTCGATCGAGGAGCCGAAGAACGTACAAGTGACGGATCTGGACGAAGACGTGAAGAAGTGTAACGATACCGAAAACTCCGAGGGGTTCGAGCCATCCAGAAAACCACATGATAATACTCACGCTGTAGATCTAGTTTCGGCGACCGTCGGACGAGATGCTCCGAACTCTTCCGAGAACGTGGCTCCGTCGGAGGAAAAGCTGCAGAAGGCTAAGAATGTGGACGTTCCAAATGGTCAGAACGTACCGGAACAGAAATATTCAAAGTCAAAAGCCAACGTCACGAAGGGCAACAAGCATAAAGAAAATACAGAGAGCAATAGAACAATTCGCATTAGGTTTGTTTCCGACCAGAAGAACGATAGTCCGAAACGTTCTCAGACCACGGTCAACAGCATTATCAAGAGCGTGTTCAAAATTCACCCGGGGATGTCGAGCGAGGAGACGTCCGGCAAACGAAGAACGAACGGACAGGCGAAGAGTAATAACGCTAAGTCGAACGGCGAGAACGAGGAGGTGCAACAAGGATACACGATATTAAAGAAATCCGAGACAGCTACTCAGGAGGAGGTAGTGCACGAATTAGCTCAGATATCTATTCAAGACTGCAAGGACGCGACCGAGATTAGTCCTGTGCTCTCGTGATAGCCTAGCATACAGCTGGTATGATGTACTGGCTCTCACAGCTACACAACAATGACTCCCATGTAAATAGATAGATCATCAAACAATAAAAAAAAGAAAGTGAAGTCACAGGATGAAGCAGATGCTGACCTGAGGGGGACTCCGAATCACAACACATCCGAGAAAACGATAGGACGTGCTTTTGCTAACCGCCCGTTTATTTGTTTGTTTTTTTTCTCTCTCTCCGACGAATCCATTCGTCTTCCTTCGCATAACTTCACGAAGACGGATCCATATAGTGAGAATTGCTCGTACATTTCGAAGCTCGGTCACAACCGAAACGCCAACAACAACAACAAAAGTGACGGTATCTATTTTCTCTAGATGTCCGCAAACGAACCAACCAATCAACCAGCCACGAAGAAGTTTTTTAACGAATGATCTTAATTTAACCGGATTTTAAAGCAGAACGGCTGCTTTTAAACGCTACGTGTGAATCAAGAAAAGGTGTTGTCCGTGATAATTTTGTTTTCCTTACAAGGAGTTTTACAAACTCGAGCGACCCGAGGTCGTGGCATACACATACACACATACATATGTTCACTTGCCGAAGTCCGTCAACTGATTTTTACTTCCAGTAACGCATACGTCGATTAATCTCCGAGTGAAAAGAACTAATGTTAAACTACAAATACACAGCGCTATTAAAAAAAAAAAGCGAGAGAGACTATACGGGACACTATCAACGTTCCTACGCTGTGGATGTATTGCTAACACGAATTGCAACCTATCGAGTTTGGATTTGATTAGATACGCATCCGGAATGATAACAGTTTCGAATTTAACCTAAGGGAAAGACGAGAAACCAATTAGCGCAGAATTGAGAAAAACCGAGTAACGTATGTAAGTTATGCAACGTACCGAAAATCGTTTCCGTAGGATAGCTCGTGAAAAAACTGTTTCAAGATTGTGTAATGGTCGGTTGTCCGCGCACTTACTTTCCTAAACAAAGCAATTCTGTCAAGTGACGTGAATCGACGCACGTACAGTATTCCAATTACGAATTATAATACGAATTAGATTTTTTGGTACACCGGCTGTCCCAAAAATGTCTCGCAATCCGGAAATGGCGGGTTCCTCGGATCGTTTGAAGCAACTTTTTCCTTTACAAAAATGTTCTCCGAGGCACCGTTCACGAATTATCAACGAAAAACAGCGACCAATAAGAATCGAGTACGGCTGACGCGAGGCGGCCCGGTCAACCGGCGCGCGAAGCCCAGTTCCGCTCATTGGCTCGGTCGACTCGCGCCAGCCGAGCTCGCCTCTCATTGGTCACTGTTTTTCGTTGATAACTCGTTAACGGCGCGTCGGGGAAAATTTTTGTAAAGGAAGAAGTTGCTTCGAATCACCCGAGGAACCCGCCACTTTCGGATTGCGAGACATTTTTGGGACACCCTGTACAGTCCTTGAAGATCGTATTCGAGGTTTCATCTGTGTATCAGTGCTGTCATGCGATGACTATTTTTACCTTCTTTAGTTTTCATACTCGTGATAAGATCTCGTGTGTGAAATGATAACTTCGAATACGACTTTTAAAACTAACGGAAAGGAAACCGTGTTTCGACCGTTCCAATACACCCCCTTGATTCTGTCGCAGCATTCTAATTAGAGCTATCAACTTGATCCGAATACCCAAGATACCTGAGAGGACAGATTTTCTTCGCGCTGCTACGAATATAGAATTTATTCACCGGCGCGAATGAATAATGTTAAATAATTATTATTGTCTCAAATTATCTAGATCTACTTTAGAAGTATCGAGAGTAAATTTGTCCATCTAATGCATTTTTTTTTTTTATATAGAACTATAGAACTACAGTAATGTCTCTCTAATTGACGCCCAGATTGCGCACAAAAATGGACAATTTGGGAAGAGGAGACACGATTATTCGAGACTTGCGGTTTATTTCTTTAGTTATAAATTGTCCACAATTATAAAAAAACGAGCCGCAAGGCTCGAGTGTAATCGTATCTCCTCTTCCCGAATTGTCCATTTTAGTGGACAATACGAGCGTCAGTAAGGGAGACATTACTGTACTCTGTGTTTATCGATTCGATTAAGATGAAAGTAGTTCTAAATGTCGTCGTTTTTAATCGAAGATGGCGCCACGTAAGCTTACATTGTTGTCGGTTCGACAAATAATATGATAAATTAGATCTGTTTTACGACTTTGTGAAATTAAACATAATTCTTTTCGTTCAAGTTCGGAGCTTTGTGACAGCTTTTTTTTTTAGAGAAGGAGAACGGACCTTCGACTCTGTCTCGTAGCATTTAATTTCCTCCGTTTGCTCTTATACTTAATCGATTCTTATAGCCTGTGAATCGTAAACACTCGAATAGAAATAATTTTCTCTGATAAATTCTAAAAAGAAAAAGAAAACTTCCTAGAAGACGTTATATTATTTGAACATTCTGCCTCCTGTTCGTTCCTCCGTTGCATCCTCGTTTTGCATTTCATTAAACACTTCGTCAGCTCGAATCATAATGCCGCGACCATCTCCACTCTCGTTTGGTATATTCAGGGTGTCCCAAAAATGTCTCGCAATCCGAAAGTAGGGGATTCCCGAGGTGATTCGAAGCAACTTTTTCCTTAGCGAAAATGCGATCCGCGGCTTCGTTTACGAGTTATCAACGAAAAACCGTGACCAATCGGAGGCGAGATCGTTTGGCGCGAGACGGCCGAGCCAACGAGCGGAACTGGGCTCCGCGCGCTCGTTGGCTGGGCCGCCGCGCGCCAGCCGAGCTCGCCTCTTATTGGCCAGTGTCTTTTTCGTCAATAACTCGTGAACAAAGCCTCGGAGAACATTTTCGCAAAGGAAAAAGTTGCTTCGAATCATCTCAGGAACCTCCCATTTCCGGATTGCGAGACATTTTCGGGACAGACTGTATAACCTAGCGTAATCGACATTCCTTTGTTCACGCGAATATTGCCAATTTCATCTGTGTGAAGTTACTACGGAAGTTTATCACGAGCATAATTTGTTCTGCTCAGGTATGTTCGGTATTTTAATAATTGCTAAGCTCTAAAACGCGTACGCCATAGTTTGTTAGTCGCAAAACAGGAACACAGGGCTGCCAAACCTTCGTGACTGCTGTTGCAAAGTGGGGCGTCACGGGGGAACCGTTTACACAAACGAATTTGTTGATTGACCAGTTTATTTTCTTCTCTCTCTCTCTCTCTCTCTCTCTCTCTCTCTCTCTCTCTTTCTCTCTTACTCTCGTCGAATCACGCGTGTTGTCCCGCCGCAACATTTCGAGCTTTGTCTAAAGAAGCTTTCGATGGTTCGTTGAAACTATAAAACGGAGATAGTTCGTTTTTTGGTCAATATTGGTCTACTGATCCCGGACCCTAGGATAATAGAAATTAATACGCGACGGTCAATTAATGAGAACTCCGGCTTCGAGATATGATTTCGGTGCGCGGCGTTTCGATGCCGCGTCGAATTACCGCGCGAGGCCTCCGTAAAGAAAATGAAAAAATGAAAAAGAACTCGACGTGCCGTTTTGCATTCTAACTTTGCAAGAATGAGGATGAGCCAGAAAAATAGCATCGCTGCCACGCGAAACGACATCGTCCTACCACGATTTATTATTTAGCGTTGTTTAGAGTTACAGTGTCTTCTCGGGCCGCGTGCGTTCCCGCGACTCGTGAATTGCATGCTTTGATATTTAAACGAAAAAAGAGAAAAAAAAGAAAAAATGGAAAAACAAACACAATATACTCGCCCCTCCCGTGGATCGTTCACAGCCGTTTAAGTAAATCGACATTTAAAGAGAAACGACAACAGCAACAACAAAAAAACACGCAAAATCTAAACCAAAAAAAAAGAAAAGAAAGAAGAAGCGAAACAAGCAAGAAAACGTCAGCGTGATCTGTCCAATCATAAAACTTTAGCCAATCGTAACCTCGACACTCGTTTCGGTCGTGTCCCCGTTTTTAATTCCGAAACACCGCTCTTTTTCTTTTGTTTTTTTTTCTCTTTCTTTCTCTCTCTCTCTCTCCTTGTTTTTGTTATTCTCGTTTAGCGTATTCGAGGTGCTTTTTCGTTAAATAAGGTTTAAGATCTCAGCTCGTGAATAAATTAGTGAATAATTATCGATAAACATGGCGCCGTTGGGAAAGGACCAATCCGCAAGACCAGGGTGCGACCAAACAATTGCCAGTTTTAGCTGGATTGAACGAATTATTCCCAAAACGAGCTGGCTCTCGGTTGGAAAAATGGAAATTCTACTCGATCCTCCTTCTTTTTCTCTTCTTATTTGTTACAGTTTCTCTCTCTCTCTCTCTCTCTCTCTCTTTTTGTCCTCTTCGACCTGATCCGAAATCGTTTCTTTTCCGTTTTTCCAGCGCCACGTGAAAACGAAAAAGGGGAAGAATCGCGGTCGTTGTTCGTTTGGCAATAAACAAATCTCGCGTCGCCGAACGGTTCAAATTGTTAAAGAAGAGCGCAGCGTTCTCGCGTTTCGCGCTCGCGAAAAACGCGGACAATAGGACGCGCGTCACGTGTTTTACACACACATATAATTGAGAACACACGGGCTCTCTTTCTCTCTCTCCCCTCCCTCTATTTTTCTCTTTTTACTATTTTCCGCCGCGCACCTTTCTTTCTCCTCTTTGTTTTAACGCGACGCGCGCGCGCGTATAGAAGCATTACGAATTTCATGCCCGGCACCACGGATAAGAACACACACGAGTAAATTATCTATATTTTATTATTTTTTCCAGAAAGAAGGGGCGTTGTTTACATTTTATACAAATCGAACGCCGCATGTGCGTGTGATTTTCCTTTTTTTAAACGAACACGATTCTTTAAACGCCCGCCGGCTCGTCAATTCGTCATCGTGATCAATTTAGCAATAAGTCTTAAAAACAAAACAAATGCAGCCTGTTTATCATTCCTTAATATACGATTGTCTTTCTTTCTGTTTTATTCTGTCCGCCCGCCCCGCACCCCCTCCCCTCTTCGCTTTTATTTCCGTCTCCGTTCGTTGCGTCCTTCCACTCGAAGAAAAGGAAAAAAAAGAACATATCTATTTTTTGCATCCGAAAATGAAAAAAAAAAATGCGTATTTTTCCGACGAGAAGCGGATCTTCTGTGTGATGTGACTGAAATCAATCGCGTCTCGCGCGTCGTTGGCCGTGTTTAGTCCTATTACTTTTACGAAATTTAGAAGAAGAAAAAAAAGGAATAGAAAGAATCAAAACGAATGCTCAAGCTACGGATATAACGTCGTGGTGGAATGATGTTACATTTCTTTCGATATCTAAATGATCTTATTTGTTTTTATCGAATCCACTGTCGCTATAATTTTTCTTTACCTATTTTTGTTTTTTTTTGTTTTTTGTTTTTTACTTGAAACACGCAGTTCTGAGCGGCTTGGCCCCTTCCTTTTGCCAACGCATCCCCCCTCCCCCCTCCAAAATCTCCCTCCTCTCTCATTATTGTTAATAATATGTATTCAGTATTCGCGTTATTTTAGGTTCTTACTACTATTGTCAGGTATATTCTGATTTATTATGTCATTATTACCACGAACAATGTAATCTATTATTATTATTATTCTATAATACATGGTTTTTCCAAAGCTCGTGCCACGATTTTTCATTCTTCAACAATGCGAATCGTCGAATGCACGGCCGCCGAATTTCTACGTCCTCGCCATTTCCAACGCGTTTCCCAGTCGTTTATCTCGGCTAGTTATTGTAACTTCAACATCAAGTTTCGATATTTTCCTGTATATTTTTATTACAAAACTATTTGTCACCTTGTTGATCCCTTGTTGATTATGCTAGTTACATAATCCGGTCGCCCGGCTATGTAAAAAAAGAACACCATAATCAGACTTGGACCTGTACATATCTACAGGGTGTCCCAAAAATATCTCGCAATCCGAAAGTAAGGGATTCCCGAGGTGATTCGAAGCAACTTTTTCCTTAGCGAAAATGCGATCCGCGGCTTCGTTTACGAGTTATCAACGAAAAACAGTGACCAATCAGGGGNCTTAATATACGATTGTCTTTCTTTCTGTTTTATTCTGTCCGCCCGCCCCGCACCCCCTCCCCTCTTCGCTTTTATTTCCGTCTCCGTTCGTTGCGTCCTTCCACTCGAAGAAAAGGAAAAAAAAGAACATATCTATTTTTTGCATCCGAAAATGAAAAAAAAAAATGCGTATTTTTCCGACGAGAAGCGGATCTTCTGTGTGATGTGACTGAAATCAATCGCGTCTCGCGCGTCGTTGGCCGTGTTTAGTCCTATTACTTTTACGAAATTTAGAAGAAGAAAAAAAAGGAATAGAAAGAATCAAAACGAATGCTCAAGCTACGGATATAACGTCGTGGTGGAATGATGTTACATTTCTTTCGATATCTAAATGATCTTATTTGTTTTTATCGAATCCACTGTCGCTATAATTTTTCTTTACCTATTTTTGTTTTTTTTTGTTTTTTGTTTTTTACTTGAAACACGCAGTTCTGAGCGGCTTGGCCCCTTCCTTTTGCCAACGCATCCCCCCTCCCCCCTCCAAAATCTCCCTCCTCTCTCATTATTGTTAATAATATGTATTCAGTATTCGCGTTATTTTAGGTTCTTACTACTATTGTCAGGTATATTCTGATTTATTATGTCATTATTACCACGAACAATGTAATCTATTATTATTATTATTCTATAATACATGGTTTTTCCAAAGCTCGTGCCACGATTTTTCATTCTTCAACAATGCGAATCGTCGAATGCACGGCCGCCGAATTTCTACGTCCTCGCCATTTCCAACGCGTTTCCCAGTCGTTTATCTCGGCTAGTTATTGTAACTTCAACATCAAGTTTCGATATTTTCCTGTATATTTTTATTACAAAACTATTTGTCACCTTGTTGATCCCTTGTTGATTATGCTAGTTACATAATCCGGTCGCCCGGCTATGTAAAAAAAGAACACCATAATCAGACTTGGACCTGTACATATCTACAGGGTGTCCCAAAAATATCTCGCAATCCGAAAGTAAGGGATTCCCGAGGTGATTCGAAGCAACTTTTTCCTTAGCGAAAATGCGATCCGCGGCTTCGTTTACGAGTTATCAACGAAAAACAGTGACCAATCAGGGGCGAGATCGTTTGGCGCGAGACGGCCGAGCCAATGAGCGGAACTGGGCGTACACGCGCTCGTTGGCTGAGCCGCCGCGTACAGTCGGTTGTCCAGTTCCTGGTGCATCGGTTTTCGTACGTTCCGGCGTTTCATTCTACCGGCACCCTCCTCGAGAAACTGTGTCACCTTGTCCGAGCTTTGACGAATGCGTCGATTTCGAAGCGCTGCTCCAGCGAGAGCATGGGTTTCCTTGTTCTGTTCGATTCTGGTTTCCTGATCCTCGTTTTCATTATTAGGCTCTGCTGAAATACGATTGAAAGGTAGTATATCTAACGTAATTGTACGTATGTAGCAACGCAGAGCATATTAATTAATTATGGACATTATGCCATTAATGTCCATAATGTCTTTATTTGTGCCAAATATTTATTAATGTCCATAATGTCTTTATTTGTGCCAAATATTTCAACGCATTCGAACTTGTCTATTATTTATAAATATATATTATGTAAATCCTTGTGGAACTTATCAGATCATTCAGACGCCAAGGGTTAACCTTTGGAATAAAAATATATATTATATATAAGAATAATATATAATAAGAATATTATAATATAATATTAAATATAATATTATAATATATAATAAGAATTATTCTTATAAATAATAATATTATATATAATACATATTATAATATATATTATATTATTATATAATATATAATAATAATAATATTTATAAGAATAAAGATCTGAATAATATTTGAAATATTTGGCAACGTTCGCTGTTGTAAGTCGTACAAACCCGCTCCGCAGTGCCGGTTTTAAAAAAGGGGTGGGGATACGGGACTACAGATAACGAGCCAATAATTGCTGCAACGAAAAAATTATTACATCCACAAATATTTAACAAAGCTTGGTATATTAAGTAAAAAAATTAAGTAAAAATGTGTCAGCAAGAATACAAATTTGATATTATAAAATTTGCAGCATCGATCTTCCGAGTTGGAAAATTTGTTTAATTCAGCTTTCCTAGCTACTTCTCATTTCTTTATTTATTTGTTTGAACGATTATTTATTTATTTGTATTTTGAACGAAGAATACGCTCTTCGCGTATTAGAATAATAATACGTTCGAACTGCAACGTTTTTTCTGACCGATGAACTACCCTCACCCAATCCACTATGTATTTGTCTAACGGCAACACGGCTGCCGAACCGGAATCAAACGCGAAGGTACGTGTGGTTCTTCGATAGAGAACATGTGACTCGTTTTTTTTTTTTAATGAACACTAATCCGTGTTTTTGCTGCAGACAAATTTACGTACGGTGATCTTGGATCAACCTCTCAAGACATCTCGAATGGAAGGAAAATGATTCCTGTCTCGTTCCCAACACTTTTCAGCAGTGTGAAGCACAAAGCACGACTAAATGTAACACAAGTACATGCCAAGCAGTAACACGAACATGACGGCAACGTATGCGAACTAAGGAGACATTGGAATACGTAACGTCTTCGCGATCAACAGTCGGTAATGTTGAATCTGTCCGATCTTAATTTTTAATTACAGACGAGGTATAGGAGCAGACACTGCAGCCACTCCCATAATGTGGATTCGGACGTACAAGTTGCAACAAATAAATATATATTATTATATTATATAATTATATATATAATTAATATATATTAATATATAATAATATAAATAATATAATATAACATAAATTAATATATATAATATAATATTATATAATTGTATTTATAATTTTATATATATATTATATTATTATATTAATTATATATCGCAAACAAATCATAGAATCGTGCAAAATAGAGATACGAAACGACGTCGACCATAAGCACACCGTATCAGATAAAATAGACTATGTGAGCATTCTTATGTTTCGTACGAAGGTCACCGAACAACTTTATTTACGGCTTTTAACAATACATTTTAATTTGCGTAGTTTTCGTTATGTATATATATGTGTACGAATATCAGTATGTACATATACGGGGACACATTAACAATTACGATGTCGGCATTAACAGTGAATGCCTTTCTTAATATTTTCACACCAAGAAATAGCACTTTTCTTTATTAAAATTGTGAGGAAATTTGTTAACATTATTTATCAACTATAAATATTCAAAATCATACCTATGTTCCATAGATCCCTTGAACTAACATATTTAATTATTATTTATATAACATATTAATTATTATTTAAATAGTTAGTCAGTGTGTACATATGTATGAAAAATACGCGAATTAAAAGTTTCAAAATTTTTAACAACTTAATGTGTGTAATTAAAAATGAATTTTTGGACAATTCAACAAGTAACAAATGTTGTTACTTAAAGTCCGTCACTGCATTATGTACTTAGGATCCGTATGGAATCCAAGGCTGTGCCGACAAGCAGGAAAAAAATCGCGCATGCATCGATAGTTTTCGTAGGGATATAACGTGGCAACAGTGTATTTTAAAAGCTGGCAACGCTGAGAATTTTGCCACCTCAGACGTACACTTTTCTCTGTCGCAGTCAAATATAGTTCACCAGCTGACCGTTCCATTTAGATAGAGTCCGCTATCGTGCCAGGTTCAGGTTCAGGTTTGCTTCATTTAAAGTGCCAGGAGCCTTAGGCTCCTTTTACACTGTTATCCTTTCATTTTATAATATATATATTATATTATATTATAATAATAATATATAATTATATTATAATAATAATATATAATTATATTATAATTAATAATATATAATATACATGTAATATAATATCGTCACTTCAGTTTTCTCCCTACATGTAACTATATGTATCAACTTATGCATAAAAACAGTGCCATGTTCGACATTATCAATATCTTATCAATTTATAATTTATTCATTGTATACTTAATTTCTACTACGGATTTGAAGGCGACAGAGTCGTACGACGCTATTTAATATTTCAACGAATAAAACAATGTATATATAAAATATAATGTTGCAGGAATATAGTTTGCTATAATAGTGCAAACTATTATAGCAAATTATATTAATTATATATATTATATTAAATTATAGCAACAATTGCACTATTATAGCAAACTATATTCCTGCATTTCTATTAATTATATTATTAAAATAAAAAACTATATCACAAGTACATTATTGCAAATTTTGCATAATTATTAAACACATATACATGTAATTCTTCGCTTGCTTTTACATTTTATTTTTCTTTCCATCTGCTGAGGACCGAATTGATAATGCATAGCATTCTGGAACTCCTTAATCGCTTTTCAATGTTATCCACAGCTCTTTAATATAATTTACATTTAATAAAATTATACTAAAATAAATTATACATTCCACATACATGCTCTAAGCATTTTACATTTGAAATTTCGCTCGTATTTATATTGGCTGTACTGCAGAAAAATCATTGCAGCTAAGTTCACTCGGGTCACGCGAGATCAGCTATTTTTTTTTGTCCAAATTCGTTTCATAGAAATCACCACGAGAACTCGATAAGTTCTGGTAACTGTCGCTACGATCGCGGCGTCGCTGCAGTCGCGTTTTTATGATCGCCCGACGGTGATCCTTGTGTTCCGAAGATCTCGCCTGGATTTTCTCCTCGAGTTGCAGCATATTTTCTTCCTGCACGTGATTTTATGGAAAAATCTACATCGCAACGGGAACGAACAGGAACGCGTAGTGTTCGTTTCACGCGAGTCCGTAATAACGAAATATGTGGTTGTCGTGCCTGTTCTAAGAGTAATCACGGTTCTCGCCATCTTTAGTCTGTCATCAAACGTCCGGGAATAAAATGCATGTTTCCTCGGTCGTTTCGCAGCGTCCGTATTAGCTAGTAATTTTTCCAAGAACGAACCAACCGATTGTTCGTAAACGTCGTGGAGAAATAGTTTCACGGTAATCTCGTGGGTCGGTGAGTGAAATTTCCTTTTTGCCAACGTTATCGGTGACAGTGACGTCGCACATCGTTGCCGAACCTATATTAAAGAACATTCTACAAAACCTACAATTTTCTCGTTTATTTGAAGAAAATATCCTCGGAGAGTCGCCTCTTTCGTAGTGCCGCGACGGTTTTGTCGTTCAAAAGGAAGTGGGATGATACACTGAAGAAGGAAGTTACCCTGCATGGACCGTACTGAAGAGTGAGTCAGATTTTTTTTTAATTATTACTTATTATATATATTATTTTTTTAAATTATTGTTTTTTCTTTGTTTTTGATTTATGTATTTTTTTGTTCTTTTTTTTAACGCGTGCAAGAAAGAGACGTCATTTGTCGGAGAATATTGTTTCGACCGTCGATTACAACCGGATAGAAATGATTTGAAAATATATTTCTGTAAGATTCGGTGGAACCATAACAGAAAATCACCGGGGCATGTCGACGATTGTCGTGATAATTATCCCTGTTTCGGCGCGTTTAGAAAGGAACGCGGATTTTCACTAATTCCCGAGGTGGAAACGAATACTCGAGCGTGAACACCGTTCTCACCGCTGTGTGTGTCAAGCTTTTCTCTGTTATGTCTTTATATTATTGCATAAACGGAGCTATATAGATAAGCGCGAATTAATTGCGGATTTTTAGATAAGCCGAGAACGATAGTCGGCATAATAGACGCTCGACGGAATTAGTTATCAATATGGTGGGCAAGCTACTTCATATTTTTGTGTACGATCAAACAAAATTGAATCGTTCGTCTTTTGGGCGGGTATCTTCGAATTTTTTGATTCATGGACACTCGGCGCACCGTCTGAAACAAACCGTTACTCACAGTTCGCGATCGTCATACGTTACGAATTCTAATCAGCGATCTCGGCCGTTACATCTTGCAAACATGGGCAGTCAATTGTATCACGTTGTCGCGCTCTATTCACGCCTAAAAATTCGTTGCACCTGTGCCTCTGGGTCTGTCGTTGACCCCTTTCTATTTTTCGAAAATCCGATACGGAAATTTCATTCACGGACTGTTTGTTGCCCGGTATTCGGTTCTCGCTGCGCTTCCACAAAATGCTTGGATCGTATGATGCACGATTTGTAAGCCTTAACAAGGTTAGCGAGATTAGCGACATTGGATTCCCCATTTATGTATCGCTATAATATTATATATGTATATATGTCCGTTTACGATGTCGCCAGAATTGATAATTATTCCAAAAATTGAACGAATTCGTAATAATAATTCTATTATATTAGTAATATTAATATAATTCTATTATATTAATAATATTAATTATTATATTAATTATTATATTAATATAATATTAATATAATTCTGTTATATTAATAATATAGAATACTCATATTTTATTCGAATAAAGTAAAGAGAAAATAGAAATAAGAATATTTTGTAGTTGCAAGTTCGAAATTTGAGAATGCAGTATGCATCGCACGGTGCACACATCGTTGCATATAGTGCGCTTCTTTACGAGCGAGTGCACATGGTACAGTACGTCCAATGTTCTGTCGTCATGCTATGAGTCATCGGCTACCGGACTCTATTCCTCTTAAAGCCGAACGATTGCGAAAGCAGGCCTATGCTGGTTCTTTTGTTGCGCCGAAATGTTCTCGCGAAATCGGACGAAATTAATTAGTTGGAAAATAAGTTCTTTAGAGTTCACGTTAATGTGAGCAAAACTTCAACGTCATAAGTCCACACATATTTATATATATAATAGAATACTATAATATTCTAATAATAATACCATAACATTAATAATAATAATATATATACAATAGAAAGTTATATATATATAATATTGCCATTTTATATTATTGCCAACTTTCTATTGTATATATATTATTATTACTAGAATTATTATAGTATTATTATTATGGAATTATTATATAGTATTATATATTATTGCCAACTTTTTCGATAGAAAGTCGAAACAAAAGCGAGAAAAGGAAATCGGTAGTTTTTAAATACGTTTCTTCTTTATCGAGTCGGAACGAAGTTATTCTATGCTTGCAATATCTGCCGTTAGATGGCGATCGCCCTTTTTCCCGCTTGAAAAATTAACCTGCTAAAAGCTGCAAATTCTTCGGGTATACAAACAATTACGAGCGACTTATTTCACGCGTATAAAAAGTGTTCGTATATCTTTTAGAACGCAGTAACGTTTTTAAAACTGATCTAAATGACTTGAATTTTGTTTAGATGATCTGGGGAATGGTTTACCAGACACAATGACTAAAGTGCTTGTTTTTTTAATTTTGCTGTTTTGATCTTTTTCGTCGTTCCAAGTAACAGCAAAATTAAAGACAAGCATAGTCCTACTATCGACTAAAAACAAATTCAGGTCATTTAGTTCAATTTTAAGAAAATTATTGCATTTTAAAAGGTGCAAGAATATTTTTGTGGGACGTCGCGTTATGAGCACGTTAGAAAAAAAAATTCTAAAAGGGATAAGCGTCAAATTTTAATTTCTGAAATTTAGTTGTCTCCAAGATGTTAATGAGAAACTTCGAATGCTACGCATTGGAAACAGCGTATGTACACAAGTGTTACTTAACATTAAACGACGGTGATCCCCGCTCCCCTCCTAAACTACAACCAGATATTCTATCATTATTTTCTCGCAGCAAAAAATTGTCCTAGTATTATTCTGATTATTAAATCAAACGGCTCCAAAATGTTGTCGTGAGTCTATATTATATATAGAACTATATTAGAACTATATATATATATATATATATTTACTTTATATAAATTTTTTATATAAATATTTTTTTATTTATTTTATATACATATATATATATATATTGAACTATATAATATATTATAATTATGCAGGTCTGATATCATAAAGCACAGCAGCGCATAAGCAACGACATACTAAGTAATTTTGTTTAATTTAATTTTTATTTAAATGTCATTTCAAAAGTCCCTTAACTATGCAATAAAATTCAGATCACAACAAAGCGATCAGATGCAAAGCGTATATTACGAGAATTTCAAGGTGGGTCATCAATGACCCTGCAACGTACTCTCTCGCACGCATTTTCTTTTTTAGTCCCGAAAGGGGGTGATTATAGAAGGCGAACAACGATTTCCACCCCCGGTCCGTGATGCGTCAAGTGTCATCCACGCGTCACCTTTCTACGAGCTTCATTCATCGCACCCTTACGCACCCTCGAGTTATCCCCCAGTGACCGACTGACGCCTATGTCTGCATATCGTTGCGGCGACGGACACTGCGTGACGTTTTCTTACGCGGAAACGCATCGCACGTTCCACCGGAAAAAAAATTCGTCTGGACGTTCGTTTGCGTGTTTCCCGTATGCATGCATGTATATATTTCGTATGCGATATACATAGTAACAGGTCTCGTGGAATTGCTAGGAGACGCATGCGCGATCCCCATCCCCACTCGAATGGCCACCCCCGTTTCACGAGGAGGGTGCGAAGCCAAACGTAACCCCCTCAGTAAAGAATTAAACGCGATTCCGCGAAGTGCCCCCCTTTAAATCTTAACATCCCGGGCTATCGTAGTGTGTATAATGTACATATAGATCGAATTATATTTTTCTACTTTTCAAGCCACAGAGAGGAATAGATGAATTTTTTACGACAACAGAATCGTTCGACTGAAAGTGACAATACGTCCCGCGACGACTGTCTACCGTGAAACGGCAGACAGATCGATATAGTAGAAAGTTCGAAAACTTTTTTTGCTTGTACGGCATTAGGTAGGTCCAACAGAGCCCAACTTTACCGATGGGTAGAACAGATATGTCCAAAACGCTGAACGCTTATAGAATGTGAGTAGTTCACCCCCCTACTTACAAATCTTTACTCACAAAGTACCCACACACATACAGACACACACACACACAGACACACATTCCTGATCGATTTCCATTTCTTTGTTTTTTTCCCTTTACACCGCGCGTTTACGTAAATGTAGATGGAAACTCTTAATTGCCCACGCGCATATTTTCATTAAGAAGCCTTATACACGACTACGTCGTCGCCTATCCATTTTGTCCTAACAGAATTATCATTCATGGCGATATACATGATAATAGGAATTAATGCATAGGCGCATGCATGCGAGACGATTCGAACAAATTGCTCGATATTACTGTTATAGTTCGACGCGAATAAACTGGCATGAACATTTCACGTTGCACGTCGTCGTTCACCGCTCCCATCAGCTGGAAAATACTTTCTCTGCTAGTTCACCGTGAACGCAGGTTCCGTGAGAAATCGATGCTTCGGTAGAGAACTTTCGAACATTTATTTCAACCGCTTTGCCGTTATTTACATTGAAAGAAAAAAAAAATCGATCCGTAATACGTGCATTTGGTTATTTCTAGATTCCATTTCCTTTAAAGTTGAAAGGAAGGTCTCGTACGTGTCACATTCATGTTGGGTCGTAGCATTTCAGCGAGATCAAGGACGATTGTACGAGGTCAAGGTTTAGGGACACACGAAGTTCTGAATTCCTAACCTCGTTCAATCGGATTAGACGTTCTTTCTCGCGGTGCTGTGAATTAGACTTCCAAAAAATGATTATCAATTCAATGAAATATTCATCTTTCTCTCTACGTTCGAAATTCTATCGTCTGTTATATCTATATACATTCTGTCGCATAAAAGGAACACGTCCGTGGCGCGCATGCGCCGAAGTATCGAGCCATTGATTTTGCTGGGTTTAACTCGGGATCTGGCATGGACCAGGTTTCCCATCGAATTAAGTGCCGTTGCTCTAATCTTTTCTCGTTGCTTTTGTATTATCGCTTATAAAAACGTCCGAGTAATTTATTCGTTGTAGTAAAAGCAACGTTCGTCGAATTTTGTTCTTGAAAAATTAACTTCGCTTCCCGTGTCACGCTAAAGAAGCATCCCGAGTTGCGCATGCCTGTACGCATTAAACCATTGATTTCTGCGAGTTTAACGCGGCCCTAACATGGGGTAAGTCTCAATTGGAAATAATTCTGTTAAAATTTCCCTGAACTACGTGTTACGAATGTCTCCTGCGATCGCGAAAATGTATCGTATCAGAAGAATCGTACGTTGGTGAAAAATGAAATAGGCTTTAATCGAAAAACGTTGTTCTCTCCGCGCAACCGATGTTCGGTTACGTTCTGCTTGCTTCGACTGAAATACTTCGCGATGCCTATTTTTGATTGCAGTTAATTATTGCCGCGTGTAACAAGTCGTTCTAAATATCGCCTACCATTTACCTTTCCTTTTGTGCTTTCTTCCCGAAGCCTCGATACTTCGCGATATATATATATATATATATTATATACGTTAATGCAGTTTTCATATTGCGAAAAATTTTATTCACGTCACAGGTCGACAATATTTATTTAAAACAATAATAAAGATTTTAAACATTAAATTCGAACGATATTTATATCTGATTTATTTATTTGGATTTTTGTATTCGCAGCAAAAAAATAGAAATCATTGGAAGAATGACGGCCATGAGTCAGGACGAAATTGTGGCTGGTGCCAGAACGGTGGCCCAGGGGTTGGAAGCCCTTCGTGTGGAACACGAGGGACTTCTGCAGGGCCTACAATCGCAAGATGCACCGGCTGCAAGAGACAAGTCCAGCTTGTTATCTAAAAACATCGAGATGATAGAGTTGGGTCTTGGAGAGGCTGAGGTCATGACGGCTCTTGCTAACCATTTGCAGAAGGTCGAAGCTGAGAAACAGAAGCTTAGGACGCAGGTCAAGAGGCTGTGTCAGGAAAATGCATGGTTAAGGGATGAATTGGCTGGAACACAGCAAAAACTGCAAGCTAGTCAACAAGCGGTAAGTAGTCACGTTACGTTTAATTCGTATTAAGTTCAAAATATTTGAACTACGCTTACGGTACCGATGATTATTTTCTAGTTAGTCGCATTGGAGGAAGCTAACAAACATTTAGAATTCATGCACAGTATGAGACAATACGATCCCGATCCTCCTGCTGACGATGAGACTTCTAAAGATAGACTAAAGTTAGGTAAAGATCCTGTGGTTGATCTGTTTCCAGATGATGATGTGGATGACCGAAATAGTAAGTGTATGTTCACTTTTTATTTCTATCGTCGATTGCTCGTATTTCCATTAAGTCTGTGTGAAAGTTACTTTCAAATTTCACTGCATTCCTCTTAAAATCTCCTGTCTTTAAATATATATTTCAGAGGCTACTCTACTTTATTATAGTACGCTAAAATAAAACTTTATTTTCACGCAGACTTAAGTCGTCGCAATAAGGACCATCTTTTGCAAAGCTCATTATTTTAATTATAGTAATATCACCAACACCGCCATCGCAATTTGCACAACAAGTGAACGCTGGATATGAAATACCTGCGCGCTTACGTACACTGCACAATTTGGTAATTCAATATGCAGCCCAAGGTCGTTACGAAGTGGCAGTGCCTCTTTGCAAGCAAGCGCTGGAGGATTTGGAGAAAACTTCTGGCCATGACCATCCCGATGTGGCCACAATGTTAAATATTCTTGCTTTAGTGTACAGAGACCAAAATAAATTTAAAGAAGCGGCAAATTTGTTGAACGATGCTTTGTCTATTCGAGAAAAGACACTAGGCGATAACCATCCTGCAGTGGCTGCTACTTTGAACAATCTAGCTGTTTTATATGGAAAACGAGGCAAATACAAAGAAGCAGAGCCACTGTGCAAGCGTGCTCTTGCGATCAGAGAAGTGGTTCTCGGACGTGACCATCCAGACGTTGCGAAACAATTAAATAATCTCGCATTACTCTGTCAGAATCAGGCTAAATACGAGGAAGTTCAACGGTATTACCAACGGGCTCTCGAAATCTACGAGATGAAACTTGGTCCAGACGATCCTAATGTCGCGAAAACGAAAAACAACTTGGCGTCCTGCTTCTTGAAACAGGGGAGATACAAAGAAGCCGAGGTTCTGTACAAACAAGTGTTGACCAGAGCGCACGAGAAAGAATTTGGTGCTATTGCTAGTGATAATAAACCAATTTGGCAGGTAATGTAAGTTCCATAAATCTTATTTACGTAGGGTAGGACTCGCAAAAGCATTTGTCATGGATTCGGTGACTCTTGCATTCAGGTCGCGGAGGAAAGGGAGGAGAACAAACAAAAGAATAAAGAAAATACTCCTTATGGAGAGTACGGAGGTTGGCACAAGCAAGCGAAGGTAGACTCGCCTACGGTCACGACGACTTTGAAAAATCTCAGCGCGCTTTATCGAAGACAAGGGAAGTACGAGGCGGCGGATACTCTGGACGATTGTGCTCTGAGGTCAGGGAAGGAGGTTAGTGGAATTGCTGTACTAATATTCGTCCAGATACCTTTCCTCTGTGGGTGAAAGTTTTGTTAAAAGTAGCACGGTAAAAGAAATATTTATAAAGCGATCGACCTGAAACCTTTTTTTCACGTTTTCTATTCCCATTGCGAACGATTCGTTTACCGTTGAATTAGATCGAAGTAAGAGTTCAATGTATGTCCTGTCGTTCAAGTTGCGTGTCTCTTTTTGAAGCAGACATTGGAGTTCGTGAAGCAGGGGAAGGTCGCGCAAATTCTAGGAGAGGGAAAGGGATCGACAAGACGTGGTTCACGGTCCAGTTTAGCGAATAGCGAATACGAACAACACGATGAGGTACGTTGTGTTAGACATTAAGAGATATACATATTAGTTGCACTGCATGTCGTAGCACACGATTAGTCGTCTACTATCCTTTTCTTCTTTCTTTTTGTTCTTTTTTCGTTATCCGGCCCGTTCTGACGAATTGGTGATACAACACACAATCACAGAGCTCGCTGGCACAAAGGGCGCTACACGAAGGACAGTCTGGCCACAACGACGCTAATTCTAACAAACCCGGTTTTAAAAACAAGATTTTTCAGGCTTTCGGCATTCACTCTTCCACGTAGGATTATTTTTCGTCTGTAGTATTGCTACTGTCGTTCAATTATGCCTGATCACTCAAACAAATTTGTCGGTGTATCACCCAAGGTCTGTACTCCCAAGGAGAGAGAGAAAGAGAGAGAGAAAGAGAGTGAGGTGATACTTAATCGTTGACGAATATTAATTAACGAGGATTTATCGGAACGGTGCCTGTCTATGATTGTCTTTTCATGAGAACTATTCCTGGATTGAAAACTGCTATGGACACGACCCTAGTGACTGCGCGTATCACTGGGAGGCATAAATGCGTAGTTGGATTGTAGGAAATGGCCTTTTTGGCAATTCTGGGTATTCGATACTGTTTCCCGCAGCCAGGTATCCCCCCGGTAAAAGCACATCGTAACTGCACATTCTCTTTTTACATTTACAAGTGTTTCGTATAACGTTCCTTGCTATTTTTGCTTTTTCCGATCACTACGAGAATATATTTCGGTATTAGAGAATACCGAAGCCTTTTTTACAAAACACTTCCATTCATAAGCTGTGATAATAACGCTTTCGATTAGTTTCTTTTGTTTTCTCTTTTTAATTAGACGAAACGTCGAGGATATTTAACTCGAAGGAGGTGCTTTTCAGTGAAAATTTTTGTTCTTCGTGCTCTGCACTATTTATGCATAACGACAATAATGGAATCGTTGAAATTTCTTACGCTTGTATTACACGTACCCCGTATATAGAAAGCGATTAGGCTAAACGATGCTTCCAGAAAACATTATTTTGATAACAGAATGTACAGTTTACTGTTTCACGCGGTACTCTTTTGGCCGATGAGAAGAGTGACAGTAACGGTAGACAGTGTGAGAATCGAGCCGTTCTCTTTTTTTTTCTGAAGCCAAAAATACCGCGAAGCTACGCACACAAAGTAACTATGAGTAGTCAGTCGATCCTTAGCAGCAGCTTTGCTTAACTATATAGTTCAGTATAGATTCGCAAAGGTGGCCGTTTATAATTGATGTGCAGAAAAATTAATAGTACTGTGACGATCGGCAGGTGAACGAGCGAAGAAAACGCATTTATTGTTTTATGACCAGATGTTTCATACAAATGTTTTCTTACAGTTTATTCCGATTTTACTACGAGTGCACGTACACCCATACATACACAACACGCATACACGATCATATAGAACTTCCCGGATTTTCCCAATAATTCGTATTACCACTTTTGCATTCATTATCCCTTTTATGTAATAATGCGTTTTACTTTAAATTATTGATTTAAAGACATTTTATCTGGCTTAAGGTTACATTGACTGTGTCCTATTTTTTTTTTTGTAATGTTATTGCGATGTGAGGTGTCTCGAAATTATTGCAATATTTTAACTGTCCCCCCCCCCCTTCAGAGTATTATTATATATTTGTAAAGAATGGATAGATCTTGTGCAATTTATACTATTCGAATTTGCAGTGGTCCGTTCATCTTTTGCATGTAAATGAACTTTTTCTTTGTACTTTTACGAGCCAGATAGATTGTTTTATATAGGATTATTCAATTCGTAGGGATGTAATGTTTATAATTGAAACTATACCTTCACCACGTGTCCCTTTTATTTGAATAATTGTATCAAAGACAATTCTCTTTTTGTACTAATTGTTACAAAGTTGATTTAGATGCAAAAGATATACAGTCTATGCTATGCATATTATTATTATTATTATTATTATTATTAATATTATTATTACTATTAATATTAATATTATTATTTTAAACGAGTCTCATTTGTATAACAAGTAATTATTACATTTTAGAAAGATACGAAGGGTACTTTTTCCACATATGAGGCACCTTGTATCCCAGTTCTACTTATTACAGATAACACTTTCGAGTCTCCGTTTTTAAAACGAAAGAACAACAACAAGTACGTTGTTAGGCTAATGAATACACAATGTTTGTAATGTTTGAACTTGCAAATCAGTAACAAACTGGAATAATTTAATATAAGTAGTGCCTTGATACTTTAACGAGCGAATGAATAAATTATTTTCTAACTGAGACAACGTATCCTATTTGTTATTTGATTCACATATTGTTGTTGTTGTTGTTATTGGGGGTGACCGTTACATTCTCCATGTATCTTGAGTTTTGCTATCATCGTTATCTTATTGTTGACAATTTTATGTGTAGAAAGATACACGTACCTTCATTTGAGACAAACCAACGAGAATGTGTATACATAATCGGTTTTGCATAATTAATTTTACTCGCACGCATTTGTGTTGTTAACCATCATCATTGTTACCAGTCGTTTTTTTTCGATATCCTGTGTTTTCGTTTTGTTTCGCTTTGATTTGAGTACTCTGCGGGCCGGGACTTAGATAAAAGGATGTCACCTTAAGGAGTACGATTTCGTCTGGACCGGAAACGGAACAAAAGTAATTTATCTAACAGGTGCGTATCCGTAGATCTACGTAGATTATATTCTATATATATATTTTTTCAATGTTTTTGTGTCGATGCACAGAGAAGTCTTTTTTTCGTTGTCATTACCACAAAACCGCATTCATTGTCCGACTGACACTATTTTTCCCATATTCGTTTTTGTTTTTTTAGATATTATCTATACGCAGGCCTTTATTTGAACCGTAACACAACATGTTGTTAGAGTCGTATCATCTTGTGAGAGAGATTAATTACTGCTCCCGAGCATGGAACACTTAACAATTGTCATTTGTACATATATACGAACACACTTTGTGATACGAGCAGTAATTGATTGTATTATAAATATATATTGTATTGTTGATAGATCACATATATTTGCTTGTTATACATATGAAATTTATGTAATGTTTTTTCAGCTTCTATAATATCGATCAGCATTCGCCAAGGATCTCATGCTTTCGATGGAAGTTCATAAGATCAGTTCACTAAATTAGAAGGAAGAGAAAATCTGGGAGATCGCATAAAAATAATCTCCAGATACCGTAACTACACACCGCAGAACTGCAGATACTTTGCATTTTGCAACGGGCCATGTTCAGGAAGTAAAATTTACTGAAATGAAGCTAAATAAAATTTGAATGAAATGAAATTGAAAGCACGAGATCCGCAATGTTACTCGAAGAGGTATCTCTAGAAACGTTTCTCCTTCTGTTTCAGGAAAGGAAGTACTTCGTACGCGCGCAATAAAGGATACAATGTAATAAACGTACCGCGCGCCTACGAGAAAGGTTACACAACTCAAACTAGTATGTTTTCTAGGAGAACCGAGATACTTGTTTATCGAACATGATCGGACGTTACCTTGTTAATCAACTTTATGAACAAGAAGAATATTACTCGTAACAGATAGATTCAAGTATACGCACTTATTCACAATGAGAGACAGGACACAACTACTAATAATAAGACGTATTTGTAGGACAGTGCAACAATGAATCGGAATAGAGCGACTATAAAATGCTCGCGTGTCGGCCAAATTATGAAGATAAAATTGAATAAGATTTCCATGATGTAAGTTGGGGGAAATGTGTCTGCGAACATCTTTAACAAGTGATCACACGAAAAAGTCGTGTTACGTGAGTTGTGTTATTTTCCTCGCAAGGTGTGCGGATATGCGAATCGATGAGTTTCAAATGATGTACAGGGCACTGCATTGTTTAACACGCAAGGAAACTATGTCTGATGTCCGTTTAATCTGTTCTGGATCGTTAAACGTATACAGCACATTCCAGCTGCTTTTAATCAGGCGCACCGCAACGGAGTCACTCTCTTCGTGTTGCTGAATTTAACCGGGCAACGATTGCGGCTTTGTGGCTAAGCAACCAATATAATTTGGTAATAGCGAGAATGGTTGCCAGGTAAATTGGTCTTTCCTGCTTTGAATGTACTGTCTGAATCAAAAGGATCATGAATAGCAAAAAAGAAAAAAAAGAAAAAATGGAGATTTAACAGAAGAATGGAAACTATAGAAGTTACTGACCTAAACGACCGCCATGTATTCAGTTCCCCTCTGCATTGTGGAGGTGTGACAGAGCGATTGAAAACCGTTCGAACAACTGGGTATACGTATCTTTTCGTTGCTCACGTTTGCTATGATCAATTTAACGCGACAGGAATCATTCCATGAGCTACTAATCTTTCTTTTTGTTTTCTGAATCGACGCTAACCGAAACGAAACAACGTTTAGCATGATCGATATGCTAAAACGAAGAAGAAAAAAATCTGTAACTTCTCTCTGTCAATGTATTCGATGTGTCTTGATCGTGGACTCGGTAGAAGAATCGTGTTAACGTGTATTTATTTGAATGATTTTGTTAATTTTATCGGGATCGGATGGGTGTCGCGAAACCGGAGAAAGAGAACAGTTCTTGAGGACATGAGGTGTAAAACGGTTTAGGGGGAACGTTTATATGTCGCTTAAAAAACATTAAATGTACTCTTTACACAACCATGCACATTAGAATTACGCAAGCGTATCATTCTCCAATTAGTTAAATTAACGAATGAATTATTTATGTAATCGGAATATGTAATTTATGTTTGCCCCGCGATTCGTTGAATTGACAATGGTGCAAACACGACGGATATTATAATATATGTATTATAGGGATCACGGTGTTGAATCGTGAAGGGTTTTAGGGACGCATTTAATTAAATTATATTGCGAAATTTTTCTGCGAAGAACGAACGTTCTTTTTAACAATTGTATTACCCACGTTACATCGTCGCCTGCTGTTAGAGACAAGGAGCATTGCAACCGGCTGTGAATATCAAATATTCGTCGAGTCCAGTGTTGTCCGATGAAAAGTAGTCGAGTCCTCATCCAATCAGAATATCTTTCAGTTCGATTACAAACTGATCCTTTCGCCGTGACAGATAATGCTTCACAGAATGCCTCTCTGCTATATTAAAACACAATCATCGACCATCTTTCCATCGTTGAAACTATAGTTGCTTCACTTTCATATTAAGTAAAGATAAACTATGATCACGCAATGGAAAATGGTATGGTTGCAGGTAGTCTCTACGCTAGAGGTACTAACAAGAGGAAAAATCTTCTTTTAAGAGGCTCGGTTATCATTCAACCATTATCAATTACAGCGAAAGAGTTCAAAGAACGAAGTTTACCATTTTATTCCATCACGCATTGGACTAGTCTAGTTCGAACGATTATAGATTCTAATATCAGTGCTGGTGCACGTGTTATTGCAATGAATCTTACCTCTACTAATGCCACTGAAAATCATTGCACCATCATCCACAGTCATCGTCGGTTACGACTTGATGATTCTATTCTAACTCGACTGTTCGGTCATACATTTTTTTTTCTTCTGATCACCATCTTTCATCATCCTTTTCGTTTCGCAGTACATACACATATTTGTTTATTTGTTTTTTTTTTCTTTTATCTTACGTTCACGTGCGCTCTCATCACCCTCAATCATGCATTTATCAATTCATGCATATTCTGCGCCTGAGAGCTTGATGGCCTAGAATTGGAATTTCTTAATTTTCGCTTTCAAGTGGGAATCGTTCCTTATTTATTAGCGGGACGCGGCGACGCGTCCGGTTCAACATTCGTTGTTATTATTATTTAACAGTTAACCGAGCAGTTCAGAGAGTTCTGCTTTTTTAAGGTGGACATTGGTGTGCAATCGAATTGGCATTGTTTTCTTCGCGCATCGAGTGCATTCTCTTCTTGTGTTCCGACTTCAATGTTCATTATATTTATTGGATGCTTCACATCTTTTTTTTTAGGATAAGTAGTCGAGATAAGTTTTAGGAATAAGCATCGCAGGATAAGCATCGGCGTCCAACTTTTAACCGTTGAAGGGGCAGCTCCGTCGCTTTCCTATAGAAACCAGAAAACATTGAGGTATTGTAGCTCTCAGGTGCGATTACTATTACTTAAATAACGTGTAAGTTTTGATGTATAATAAATATTTCCTGTCGCTGAACCTGTCGTATAAGAGCAAATATATTTCCGGTTGTGAACCTTCTTGTACGTCCGCTTTTATCGCGCAGGGAGGAAGAACGTTTGTATCAACCGAAGGCTATATGAGAAAGAAAAAGAAAAAAGACAGATCATTTTTTAAATTAATCTTGTATTCGTTCTCGGATATTATTAAACTTACGCATCGCTGTATAAATATTTACGTTAGTTCTCGCCCCCCCCCCCCACGTGTTGAATCGTGTTTCCATTCTTTCGAATTTCTGTCCGATATTCTTCTTTATACGTTCGCTTTCATTTCGGACATCCTATTTTCCTCTCACACATACACACACACATGTAATTACCCATAGGAATGATATAATGTGTATCGAATAAACTTTGTACAACGTCGGAAGTTTGGAAAGAAAATGTTCTTCATTGGGTTCACCGTGATCCGTATTCCTGAATCGTGTGTATTCGTTTCGACGAACATTTGAATTTCTAACGAGATGTTATTGTTAAAAAAAACGGTGTCGTACGTTGACCGTGAATATTTTAAGCTCGAGGCGAGTTAACGAAGTCTTCCAGTACCGACCGAGGGTGTTGTTGTTGTTCTAAACACGTTTCTGTGGACATGGAAATGAAAATTTCAGATCTTTGCGCTGGATAAATTGGAACAGCACCGTAATCCAACGGATTATCCGGCTATTTCGGGCGTTAAAAAACGGCGTTATAAATATATCGACAGTCTGTTCATTAGCGGCGAATATTGGTCGCCATATTGGTCGCCAGGTGGCACGAATGCGTGCTCTTGTAAATAAAGTAAAGAGAAACGTGACGGTGCAAAAGGCAAGACGCGTTTATCGTACTGGCAATCTATTTTCAGATTCTATTTCAATATACGGTAATGTCTCTCCAATTGACGCTTAAAATTATCCAGAACAGTGGACAATTTGGGGAGAGGAGATACGATTGTTCGAGCCTTGCAATTCGTTTTTACAGTTATCAATTGTCAACAATTGTACAAGCCTCGAATAATCGTGTCTCTACTCCGCAAATTGTCCGTTCTCGTGGACAATCTGAGCGTCAGTAAGGGAGACATTACTGTGTTTTCAATCTATTTTTCTTCTCTTTCCGATTCTATATCATAAGATTAAGTTTAAGATTTAGTTCTCTCTGTACGAATGCCATTTTGCCCCATCTACTTCGAATTATAGAAAAATTTTTATTGAGCATAGTGTTACAAGTTACAATAGTAATAATAATAATAATAATAATATAATAATAATAATAATGGTGAAAGAGTAATGATAATCAATGATATACCTTTTTTCTCAAGAAATAAAAACTATCACGATCTGTTACGCTTAATAAACTTTTACAAAATTCCTTTTACAAACTCCTGATTTGTATCGGCTTGACTAGCATATTAGAAGCATTTAACGTTACAGTTAAATTGTAATCAAGAGGAAGATTGAAAGCACGTTTAATGCGGATAGAAGGGTGTTTGGTAGGGGAGGGGGGGGGGAGGTGGAGAGTGGTAAATTACGATATACAGGTATTAAAAATCGCTTTCGTAATAAATTAGGTACGATGAAGAAGAAAAAATGTACATTCATAGATCGCTAATATCATTATTACACGTAATGTATCGAGGGTTACAACATCGTTTCGTGACAATTACATGCAAGGCTGATTTTCGTTCATGAGTTTTCAATAGGAAAATATTTCGTTCCTCTCTCTCTCTCTCTCTCTCTCTCTCTCTCTCTAGCTCGCTCTCTCTCTTTTGTTCTTCGATTGCTTCTCCTTTCATTTTATTCGAAAGTCTATTTGTTGTTCGCCATTTTTTTTTTAAATCACTTCCGCTGACAATATTACACAGCCTTTAAAATATTGGGGGGACCGAATCAGCCTGGCAAACTCCCAGAAACGGGTGGGGAGGGGAGGGGGTAAGATGAAGCGATACGCGCGTTAAGGAAATGTCCGACAAATATTAAAATATGTGTACAACTTCCAATAAATATGCGACGTCCGCCTTAAAAAGTACAGATTGCTTAAATTCAGTAACCCGCCACGTCTCGTACAAAGTACTTAAAATAGAGTTCTAAAACTAGTCTTTCGTGCTCCGAGTCTAATTTAATTTGTATCAAGGAGTCTCCTACCGAATTATTAACCTCGATTACGCTTCCCTTAGGTCCGAGCTGTCTGGAAGGGACCGCCTGAACGTTTTTCTCTGCCTATGAAAAATTAATTTCTGTCAAAGGAATTCTTCTAATCACGCTCTTTAAAATATTTTATCGAAAGTTCGTATCATTTGTCTACTACTACTACTAAGTAAATAATATAATATCTAGGACTGATTGAAAACGTAGAGAAAAAGAAAAAGTGAAGAAATGACTATTCGTCGGTGTAGTATCGTATTCCCTAAGAGACCGTGAAGACGTTCGGGTACTCCATTCCAGTCGCTTCTATCCTGTAGAAAATGTACCATGTTCTCTCGCATAGCTGGCCTCAAGGACATCCGCGATACTTCCGATTAAAATCCGCCCCTTCGCATTCGGCGGAGCCGCGACGTCCTCGACTCGAACTGCCTTCACCACAAACTGGATCGACAGAGTTCCTCTTCGTCAGAGTTCCACGAAACATTGAATACTGAGTAATATATACGATGATTTTCCTTACACCGATCGCTGGGAACAAGGTTTTCGAAATGATTTTAATCGCCGTCTAAACGGAACCGAAGTCAAGTTCCATTCGACCGAGCCGACGACGTTCTAGGTTATGTCAAGGAAATGTGTGCTCGTGAGTCAATGAAATCCGACTGAATATGTTAATTAATGGGGCCGACACTGTGCTCCGCTATTTTGGCTCGATAATTGATCCCTTGAGCCGGATTGACATTCAACCGAGCCGACGACGTTCTAGGTTATGTCAAGGAAATGTGTGCTCGTGAGTCAATGAAATCCGACTGAATATGTTAATTAATGGGGCCGACACACTGTGCTGCGCTATTTTGGCTCGATAATTGATCCCTTGAGCCGGATTGACATTCTTTTTTTTATGAGAGAAACGTTCCGCGTCTTCGCCGGCGCAAGCCATTGGAAACATGGAGGAAACGCGATGGAATGAAAAACGACCACGAATAGAGAGATAATGATAAACAGCGACACCGGATACGCGTTATCGTATCGCAACGATACTGAATACAGGGTTCGAATTGCTTCTCGCATAATGCTTCGGCCATCTTTAAGTACTGAAGTTGCCCTCGGGAATTTACCTCTTTTGTTTCTTTCGTTCGATTGTTGTCTACGACTGGCAGTGTTCGATGTATGAGATTGAATCACACGAATTTGTGCTTGAGATTGTATTTTAAAAGATCGCTAAAAATTGTTACTTTTTTTCCCTTTTTTTCTTTCTTTTTTTCGTTTTCTTTTTCGAACTCGTGTATAACAAATTATCTACAGAGAGAGGTTCTCGAAGCCATCCGCAATCGTGAATCGCGTTAGAAAAATTTCGAAGATGGTACAGGAACAAAAACTGACATGGTTTCTTTTCTTTACCCTAAAATGGTTTCTTATTAGACACATTAAGAGCTGGTTCTTGGCCAGGCGATCTTGGCGTCGATCCGCTTGTACGCGAAGAGGCAGTGAGAGAGCTCCTGGGGGCATTCGTGGTCACCGAGCAGAGTTTCTGTAAGAGAATATTGTGCTATATTAATTGTTTAATATATTTAATAAATATATTAGATATATTTCTTATCCAATAATCATTTGCGAGCGAAAGGGTCATTCAAATATTTACCTTCTCCTTGGACCAACTTGAACAGCCCGTAGTCCTGGGGGTTGGTGCATCTTATTTTATGCGCGAGGATACGACAAATCTCCCTGGTGTTCATGTTGGGTCGCACAGGCAGGGTTCTAGTGTTCAGGGAACCGTGTAGTTCATCTGGCACTAAGATTCGTAGTACGGATGAACAGTCCGGTGTTCCAGAGCCCTGAAGAAAGCAACGAAATGTGAACAACCGCTTCGGTGCATCAAGCTTCAAACTGCTCTATGACTCTATTTTATAAACGTAGCGAGAAAAGCCTAATTATCTGTAATTTGGATGCTCTAATCTGTCATAAGAAGAGAACGCTTTAAACAAAGACTGCTGAGAATGGAGATGAGCATGGAGATACAATAGAGAACACATCGTACGCTTACATTCAACGTGGACATGGTTCCCTGGCTAGACTTGAACGTCTTCAACACGTGCACTGCGCTGGACAGCGTCGTCAGGTAGTATCCTCCTTCGCCGGTGAGCAGCGAAGGATGAAGGAGGCCCCACATGTACTCCGCTTCCACCTCGGCGTCCACGACTTTACCGCGGACCAGGACCCAAACGAGAAGAGGTAGGAGGTCGTCTGCTCCCAGCGTCACATGCCTCCCAGAGTTTGCATGTTTCACCTGGTAGTTAAAATTATATATTATTATATAAAGAAAACATTGTCCAGTCTGCTTAGACATTATTAATGATTCTTTCATGGCTAGCTTCGATCAGCGCCTTTTAGAGCTTAATAATATTCCTAATAGAACAATAATAATTGAATAACTCGCTTGTTTTTGACAATAAAGAAAATAGTGTTGAATAAAAGTTATTCGATTTCGAGGGGCACGTTATATTATGGCAATAATCTTTTTATAGGTGCAAACGTAAAGGACGTATAAAGGTCAAACTTGTTTTTCTAAATGCGATGATCTAATTTTTTATTCGCAATCGGATAGAGACTTTCAAGACGAGTACAACGGCCTATGAATGAAGGTCATACGAGGTAACAACATACGAACTACAATGGAAGAATTAAAAAGAAACTAAAGTCAGGACCGTTCCGGGGCTACTTACGGAATTGAAGATCGCAGAAATGGCCGCCAGCAGGTTCTCCAATTTGTCCAGGGGCGAGTCCGCTTTCTGAAGCTTGTCAATATACTTGAGGATCTTCTCCAGACTCGGGTCTGACGGTGGTATGATCTTTGGCTGTAATTGAAAATATTGTTCAATGCAGACACGATCGCTTATTCTCAGACTCTCTATTATACAGAATCCACGAACCGTTTGAGAAAGAAAAATTATCAATTTCTACGAACTACCGAGGAAGACAAAGGAGCCTAAGCTACGACAGTGATCATAGATAACAATCTCGCAGTAACGCGATGCATCTCAATTACCGGATCAACAAACTATCGTCCAAACAATTCCCCAGAATATATCTGAAACCCGCGTCACGAGTTCACCCCAATACAAACGCCTCCCTTTTGGGGTGCAGTCGATGAAGCATCGCGCAAAAACTGTCACCGATAATAGTACTAAAATACAGTGCTAAACGATTATTACACTAGTCACGGAATACTAACTCGAACGCCGAGATCCTGTACGTGTTTCCCCTGGGCGTGCTGTATGTTCTCGGCTAGGGTCTGCAGGGACCCGGTGGTCGCGTAATGCTCGACGAACAGTCTGTAGACGTGCTCGCGCAGCGGTCTGACCACAAGGCCCATCATCACTCCCTCCAGGATCGCGTCCAGGTTCAGGAATTCGTTCGCCTTCAGCTTCACCCTCTCTTTCTCCACCTCCTTCTCGAACTCCCTCTCGCCGTGCTTCACCAAGTAGTTCTTCATCCCGGACATAAACTGCCGCATGTTCCTCATCACCACGTGGGGGCTGGCTTCCTTGCCTTCCTTCGTGCACTGGATGAAGTTGTCGATGTTCTGGGAGAAGGTGGTGGTTTTGTCCGCGGCGAGCTGAAGGGCGTAGGACCTGATCGTGGAACCGGTGCCGCCATTGTCGCGGTTCTTCAGGGCTTGTAACCTTGGCGGAGCTGGAAATGATGAAAATAATTGGTTAGGTATATTTAAAATAGAAATAAAAATATGCCGAGTCGGCGAACGTTTCTGGGCGTTAGCGACCGGTGGTCGACGAAGCTTTGGGGATATTGTTTAATTCGCAGAAGAGCTTACATTTGAGTGCTTCAACGCTGTGCCGAAGCCTCATGCAAATACACCGGAACCATCTTCCGATCTTAACGAAGATATTCCTCGTCGTCGCGGAGATGTTGATCCGCTTGAATTTAACCTCCGCCGTCCATTTGATCATCATGTGCTCAGTGCCGATCTTCACCCCCATTTTGTATAATTACAAAAATCTCTTCTGGAGTCCGTTAGTTAATTATAATACTGTTAGGAACTTTCTGGTTAAATTCAGCCTTGTTGTCACAGTCGCTATTTTCTATTATTTCCTTTCTATTATTCTATTAGTCTTTATTTTATTATTTTTTATTATTTTCTATTATTTCTATTATTTTTATTATTTTCTATTATTTCTATTATTTTCTATTATTTTTATTATTTTTATTATTTTTATTATTCTTATTATTTTCTATTATTTCTATTATTCTTATTATTTTCTATTATTCTCTCTCTTCGTTGCTAAAATCAGTCTTCTAGCTCTCTTCTCTCAGCGTTCCCCGGCGTTCAAAGCATCGGCGATCGTTTTATCCTCTAAATTTCTATGTTATAATTAATATCAATAATTAATATCCGTAATTAATATCCCGTCAATTTTTTTCACAGCCGATTCGCGGGTCCCTTTCGCTGGCCTCGACCAATGGAACACCGAAATTTCCTCTCTCGGCGATCTTGATCCGATCACCGGTTCAGAATCGAATCGACGGATCGCGGCCGAACGAAGAAGCAGTTTCCCCGCAGACAGTCTGTCGCGCCAAATGACCTGGCCTCGCTGCTTTGTTGTTCTTCTGCCATGGAGAGCTTCTCGCACACGTGATGAACGCGATCGTAACGCCGCGGACGGACCACTGTCTCCGATCGAATAATAGAGAACAAAGCTTCGTCTGTCGAGAGATTCAACTGGATTTCCGCATTCCACCGAGTTATCGCGCGCACGACTCGCGACGCTGTTTTCTCTCTCGCGGTTCTCGTCTGTGCGAGATTAAGTTAATTAAGTTAATTAAGTTAATTATCGCGGACACGATATAGTTAAAATAATAATAATATATATAATAAAATTTCTCTAGCGAGAAATTATTTGCCGTCGACGCCACTGCAACGAGTTCTCTCTGTTTTCACAGGCGGTTTTTCCGCTTCGAAACGAGGCGGAAGGGTCGCGCGGATTTCACTGTTCGGACGACTGGAGCGCGCGTCGGGGCCCGACGGAGGCGAAGCTGCGTCGACGGTGGACTGACTGAGACTGACGGCGAGCTGTCGCCGACGGAAAAGGTGGCCGCGAAGACGATTCTGTCGACGTCTCTGTCGCTCTTGCGGTGCTTCGTTCAAAGTGGGGGAGGTATTCGCTTGTGCGAAGTGCTGGCGAATTTGTGTTTTACGATTGGGGCTGGAGTGGGGGAAGCACCTGGCCTTCGATCGGGCCCCGTTTACGATCGGGGGCCCCGAGGATTTCGAAAAGGCTCGGCGGAAAAGTCTCTCTCTTAGACCTTCAGCTTTTGAGATCTGCGTGTATTAGTTTCCGTGCTGTCCCTATTTCCGCGCTTCCGGATTAAGAAGGTATGGAGGAAGAAAGCTGGTGTACAGTTGCCTGCAAAAGTGTTTGCATACCGGGATAAAATTTGTTCGATTCGATTTTATTGGTATTTAGATACAGTTTTGTTTTAGGATATTTTTACGCATAATTAACCCCCCATGATGTTGTACTGTTTTATTGTTAATATTAGGTATTAATTACTGCGATTAGGAATTTTTCGACTGCAATGATTTCTTAAAAGAGGAAGAAAATTTTTGCACCCTCGGATTAAGAAGGTATGGAAGAAGAAAGCTGGTGTACAGTTGCCTGCAAAAGTGTCCGCACGTCGGTATAAAATTTGTTTGGTTCGATTTTATTAGAATTTAGATAAAGTTTTGTTTTAGAAAAAATATATATATATATATATTTATTATATATATTATATATTATTATTATTAATATTTATTAATATTATATATATTATATATTATTATATAATATATTCTTTACAGCTGTTGCGATTAGGAATTTTTCGATTGCAATAATTTCTTAGAAGAGGAAGAGGAAGAAGAAGAAGATCGATGTTCAATTTTCGCACCCCCGGATTAAGAACGTATAGAAAAAGAAGGGTGTTGTACAGTTGCCCGCAAAAGTGTTCGCACGCTGAGGAATATAAGTAGTATGTCTTGTCAAAAATAAATAAGTGAATAGCCGATAAAGAAAAACCATAATGCTACAGTGATATCTTACGACGGCATCGAAGCTAACAAATCAACATGCCGGCGCATGGCGTGCAAACAGATCTGTCACATAAGTGTTTATCCTAAGGCTTAACAGCGAACCTACCGTGCCGGTCAAAATGACCGGATCCACAACTTTTTTTATTACAATTTAATTAATATTATATTTTATATATATTTTATATATTATTTAAATATGTTTTATATATATTGTATTATACATATATTATTTATTCATTTTTAAATATAGCTAATAATAATTAAAATAAAATTGAAAATAATAACAACTATAAATATAGCTAATATATTAAATAGCTATAATAATTAATAGCTATTATTAATAGCTATATAGCTAATAATAATTAAAATAAAAGTGAAAATAATAACAACTATAAATATAGCTAATATATTAAATAGCTATAATAATTAATAGCTATTATTAATAGCTATATAGCTAATAATAATTAAAATAAAAGTGAAAATAATAACAACTATAAATATAGCTAATATATTAAATAGCTATAATAATTAATAGCTATTATTAATAGCTATATAGCTAATAATAATTAAAATAAAAGTGAAAATAATAACAACTATAAATATAGCTAATATATTAAATAGCTATAATAATTAATAGCTATTATTAATAGCTATATAGCTAATAATAATTAAAATAAAATTGAAAATAATAGAAACTACAAAATATAGCTAATAATAATTGAAATAAAATTGAAAATAATGGTATCTCCTCTCCCCAAATTGTCCATTTCCGTTTCTAAGCTGTGCATCAATCAGGGAATATTGATCAATCCGTGCGAATATTGAATTGCATCCTCGACAAAATGCACTCGAAATTCTGCGTTCAACGAATCCCCAACGCTTCGGGGATTCGTTGAATCCCACCTTGATACCATTCTCCCCCCCGATACATATTCAGACCTTTGAACTTCCGGTCTGTTTCCTTGCCCGACACGATCATCTTCTCTGTCGCTTTCCCTCCGCGTCGCGCGTCGAGACGCGAAGAAAATAGAATTCTCGATAAGAGAAAGAACAACGAAACGAAAAAAAGAAAAAAAAAGGAAAAAGGAAAGATTGGCTCGAGATAAAAGAGTTCATCGATAAATTGTTCACGCCACACACAAGATACACGGGGACAATTTGTAATATGCTGTTCTTCTTCTGTGCGTATCTCGACCGATATCTCGCGACGTTCGATATGCTGGCACGTGAACAGCCTATGGAACGTGTATCTCACGGTGAGATTAAAAAACGATGCACCGGGAACACTGATCCGTCCCGGGGAGGATAACCTTGGCCAACGATTACTTCTCTCGTGTAACAATATACGTGTACATGCACGTGCATTATGCGACGCGATTTTCACGGACTTTTACCGGTGCGGCTGTTCTAAATGAACTGCGATTGTTTATAGTATTTATTTTTGCGATATTTATTATTAAAGAATAATTATTATAATATTATAGTATATAATATAATTATTATAATATTGTAATATATAATAGAATTATTATAGCATTATAATACATAATAGAATTATTATAATATTGTAATATATAATATAAATATTATAATATTATAATATAATAGAATTATTATAGCATTATAATATATAATATAATTATTATAACATTTTAATATATATCATTATTATAGCATTATAATACATAATATAATTATTATAGCATTATAATACATAATATGATTATTACAACATTGTAATATATAATATAATTATTATAATATTGTAATATATAATATAACTACTATAATATTATAATATATAATATAATTATTATAGCATTATAATATATAATATATAATATCATTATTATAGCATTATAATACATAATATAATTATTATAGCATTATAATACATAATATGATTATTACAACATTGTAATATATAATATAATTATTATAATATTGTAATATATAATATAA